GAAAATGTGACGCGAGATAGCCCCAACAACTGCTGCACCGCGGTTGAAATTTTTGGCTCTGAGGCTAGGTTTGGAGTCCTGAAGTAAATCCTACATCATACCACTGCCTTTAAGGGTCAGACCTTCGAGTCAAAGGCCCAAGGTGGGACACTGTCACCAAGCCCTTTTCTTTGGCATGGGCAAACTGGAGGTATTATTCGCCCTTACCGCCCTTCGCTCACTGGACCTCCCCTACATCACTTCACCATCGGTCAAATGATGCATAGTGGTCAGCTCATCTTCTGGTCCATTAAGCACTGTTCCTTGTCCCGATATTATCCCTAAAATAGTCGCGTACTAATGATCTGATCCACACTGCAGCCTTCAACATCCGTACTCCATGTCAAATCTGTCAACAGGTATACCTTTCTGGAAACTTGCTTTCCAAATGTGGTAATGTATGCTGTGCCTTCCGAACACACACACAAGACCCCACGTTATTATGCACCTCACGCCCATTAGGACGAGCTCAAACATTTCACATTTCACCCTTCAACGATCACTTTGGCGATTCTGATGCAATGGCTTGTGGCGTCTACGGTTTGCTATTTACACTCAGCCTCAGGTCTGAAAGCGCCCTACTGGACTGGATCCCAGTGAACAGTTATTTCTGAGCTGCACAGTCGTCCGGCTCAATCGTGAACAATGCAGGTCACTGCGGTACACAGTGTTTGCTTGTCGGACCGGTACATGCCCCAACAGACAACAGTTCTGTAACTGAGAAGGGCGGGTTTTATGAAAATCTGTCGCGCTTTCTTTGGTTATCGAGAAAGACAGATGGTAGTCGTAGCGGGCGATAATAATGCTCGATTGTACGAAAGAAGCATAATCAGGTGGTAGATTTGGATTCTCAGTGCACCGACAATTAGTGGCGAAATCTTCGGTTTTGTGCACACAACCGTCTGATCCAAGCCGGTAGGGACCTCCAAAACAAACGCTCACATCGAGTTAGGTGGAGGCCAACAACCACAAGACAGCCGTAAACTCAAGTGGAACACGTGGCTATCAGTTACAGGTGAAGGACCATAATTATTGATTGTTGTTCTTTACAGTATACACAATCTAACTCTGATCAGGCGATTGCATAAACCTGGTTACCACTCGCTTTCTTTAGGAATTTCGTGCGCCAAAAAGAACAGTTCCTTCCACCTTTTTTGAGAAGCTTCGGCATCTCAAGCGTATCAAGCTGATCTAGATAGGAAGCTACGAGAATAGCACATTTATTCAGATGACGAAGATTGCTAGGAGGTTGCACTGAATCGGATTAAAGGAGCAATACTCTCAGCCTTGCAAACCCTCCGTTCAGGTGATCTGACTTACCCAACTGAACATTCAATATAATCGAGATTACCAGATATATTTCATCATACCGAAAACTAGTGACTGTGATGACGCATGAAGATCTTTTAATACCGAATAACCAGGAGCTTGAAGAATGACAGAGAACGGTGGTAGATTTTGAAGGCCAGAGAGATCTAGTAGACTTTCGGTGTGGGCAAATGCCGCGCCATATTCTGGCTGATTTGACCAATCGGTCAAAAATTGCAAGTGTCCATGAAAGACTATCCGGGAAGGACCGAACGGTAATTCCCTCCTTCAGTCGTCGACTTGAGAGATGGCCTGACCACTTCAAAGAACACTTCAGTTGCTCTGCTTGGATCAGATTCTGCAGAAATGCAATTTGAAATAACTTAAATCAGCCACACGTTTTGGCATGCGTCTCACGCCGGCAAAATGCGAAATGCTGCTACAAAAGTGAATGGCAACAACCCCAACTATCATGACCACAAATAAGCCAGTCGACACAGTGAGTAAATTTGTTTATCTGGCTAGTTGTATAGGTTCCGATGGACTATCTAGACAACCGAGAAGGCCAAGACAGCTTTTGCCGACTTCTAATACCTTTGGCGCTGACGGGACGTCAGTTTGTCTGTCGTTTGCATAGATTACACTGGGACAGTGCAATTTATCCTGCTTCTTTAATCAAACACATCGTAGAGCACAAACGCAAACTGTCGGTGTCTCTCAACCAGTGTCTCCAAAGCATTGGTTGTTTCCGGCGGGAACATCGGATTAGTAATCCTGAATTAGTCCTAATGATTCTAGGAAGAAGGAATTATTCCACGGTTGCTGAGTTACTCACGTTTTATTGGCTGTGCTAGTTAGGGCATGTACTTTGCACGGCAGAAGCCCGCCTGTCTTACAGAGTTCATTTAGCCCAGCTTTGCGCAGAGTACAAGCGACCGTGTTTGATCTAGTGGCGAAGTATTAAAACAATAACCTGTAAACCTAAACGAGTCGTCAACGGCGGCTTCCTTAGATGGCCACCTTGGGACTCAACTCACTGATGGCTGATGACACTGGCGGAAATGCCTCAGTCGCGCAACTAGTGATGCTCTTGTGTCAAACCCATCGCCCTCAATGCATAGCTATCCAATTCATGAACTAAATAGACATGTAGTCGCCTGCAAGGCTAAGGCTGGAGTTAGGTTGATCGAGGCTGTGGCAGCTGAAAACATCATACCTACGGTACAACGTTTATAGCTGATAAATTGATTGATTGATTGAATAATGTCTTTGTAGTGTTTTTGCTTTCATATCAGTAAAAAAATTTAGGAAAATAAAACTCCACTGCTGATGAAGAGTGGCGTTTGGAAAATTGGATCCTAAGGACGGATGTTCCTACCACCACAAACGAGCACCTCAGCATCCGAACCCCGAAGAACCGTGCTAATTTTAGGAAATTTCCCTACATAAGACACCGGTATATAAGACACGGAACTAACTCGGCTAGGAAGCTCACCGGGACATCAGGCGTTTGGATATTAAACTTTACGGTTAACTTCTCAAACTGCTGACCGGGAGGCTGCGAGTTCGGGATTCCTTGGACCCAGCAAACACGCCACCGGTGGCCATTGGTCGCAAAAGGTGAAAAAAGGGGTGGCTTGTTACCCTTGTCACCGCTGGCGCCACCGGTGGCTAAGGGCGGCCAAAGGTGGCACCTCGAAAAAATTTCCGCCGACCTTTACATGGCCCTTTTCGAAACCCCTTGCAGCCGGACGAGGCCAACGGTGGCAACCACAAGTTTGTCTAGGCATATTTGTCGGCTAACTTACTGCCTCTTTGAGTAATCGCTGACTACCTAACCTCATGGCATGCGTATTATTGCCGAACGCCGGAGATAATTACCAAACGCGTCGTTCTTGCTGCATGGTCAAAAGATAACGAGGTTATTGGAAAAATATAAATCTATTGAGGATATCATTACAGCGTCATTGATTTTTTCGGATGCGCCGCAAGGCGGCCCTCTCGCGTCTCAGCTTCCGGTTTCCAGGGATTCCATCAAAGGCTCCCTTGAACCAAGACTGGATTGATTTCTCAATGAAATCCACTGCGACACTCGAGTGTGCGGCCACGGGGTACATTGCATCTAAAGTGACAAGTGTCACTACCTCACCCTTTATGAGTGTTGGCAACTCTGTGCATGATATGGGTCTTTTTTCTTCTCCCTTCGACCACGTCAAGCGATCTGCGAATAAGCAATAAAAGTGACATAAACTCACTTCGGAATGCCTCGGCTTTCACGGCCTCGCCACGCATTTCATCTAGGTATGAATTGATGTACGTGATTGAAGTTTACCTCGAAACGCAGACAGGATGCGCACCGTTTTTCTATTTGGATATTCTGGCACACGCAATCCATCAGAATCGCTTGCCTCCTCACCGGAGTCATTGGTTTGTTCCATGACCCGAAGCGGTGGTAGCGAAATCGCGGATGACAGGTGGCCATAAGCCGAACTACATTTAAAATATACATCAAACTGAAATTATGGCCGCACTTACTCAACGGGTGAGGAGTTTAGCACTGCACGGAACCGGACTGCCTCAGAGTAAGCTCCTGAAGACGTGTAAAGGCTCAATTAGATTTTTTTGGAAGCGTACCAAACTTCTTGATGATTGCAACGGAGCGCGTAATGCCGCTTGAAGGCACGGCCTCTTTGTTTATTAGGGCCCTAAGTAGAGCAAAAACTGTCGGAACTCTGTGGCTTTCCAAAGCCCACTGTCCTCGAGAGGACGGTAACGCCGTTGAAACTCGCTGGGGGTGTGACTGTGTACAGATGAAATGCGGTGGTTTGTTTCCGCCCTTTGCGTTTGTGACAATCTGAAAGGACGACGCGCTTGACCACCAACCCAAAATTCCAGCAAATTCTTGGTTACGCCAAGGCATACTAAATGCATATAATCAAGGGGAAATGACTTGATCATGTCTATTGGGAGCTGTTCAAATGGGGAGACACCGAACGGAAACCGGCATCTGTTCGCAAACGGGCGTCCACTTGAAGAAAAGTCATTGTTCTTACAAGCCGGACTCCGTGGACGACACACTTATCGCATCCGTAATAACCGGAGTGTCCTTTGGTTTGCTTGACCAACGACCTGGCTGGTTTGTCGCAAATGACGCGTGACAGGTGAATAGGCACACATTCTAGATCATTTGAAGTGAAACCACTGTCCAAAACCAGCTGCAGTTCACTTATCGTGTCTTGCAGATAGGCTTCGACGTCCATTGGTTTCGAAGCACCCCAAAAGACACCAACTACGAATGGCCTCGTTCCCGCTAATTCGGCTGCAGTCGCCAGAATTGGTCAAATCTGTTTTCTCGACGACCCGTGTAAATGGACACCATCGATGTTCAGCACAACGTTGAGCCATCTTAGTTCGCTGCGCATTTTGGCTGACAACCAGGCTTTATGCAAACCAACGAACACTACTCAACAGCTGAGGAGCGCTTTCGTCTTTCTTCGAGTTGACCAGGTAGGCGCAGTCCCCGAGTATCCGAAAACAGTATGTTATTTGCACGCCAATTTGTTTTTTATTGGAAGACCCATCCGAATCCCAGCTAAAATCTCTCGAATACAGTATTCTGTAAATGAACGTGCCGCACACCCGCCGCCTCATGTTCAAGAAAAACGTAAAGTTGACGGAAAACTGGAGACGGCAGATATCTGTTAAACATCAAGAATGAGGAAAGTGCGCTATGGAAACGTTTTCAACAAACTCATGATTCGTATGTCCTAAAAACATCATACAACACCATACCTTGAAGATTTCATCTACCGGAACTTGAGAGGTTTTTTGAAGATCAGTTAGCTGAAGAATATTATAAACAGGGGATTAAGTGTAGATGAAGTTGGGTATCTTGTTACAACAGCTCGTTGAACGAGAATCCATAATCACTTAAGAGAAATGGAAACTCTTTTCGGTGATGCTAGTACGCTCCATGTCTAGAAGGTTAGAAGACGAATCGGACGCCAAAACGCACTGCAATGAACTCACAATCATGGCGGAATTAGCTACTTAGCTGCTTATGCCTTTTTCACTCATAGTGTGTATAGTATAACATGACTAAAGCTTCGGTTAGTTCGAAGACGGCAACAACGGAGTGAGCTGCAGTCAACAAATTGAAATTCCACGTGCTTTGTACTTTTGTTTACGTGGTCCAAAGGACCTTAACAACAGGCCGAGCTTTATACACAACAAAACAAATTCATTATTTCAAAAAAACCTTTTATGAGCGGTGTCTTCATTCGAATTTGGAAATTCCAAATACTCTTGCCGAAGTGTCATTCTCCTACAAAAAAGGCCGCACCATCTGTAATCCCGAAACTGACTACGCGGTCAATATGTTATCCGTTGTTGCGGAGGGTTTTCACAAATACCTCGTCGTTCATTCTTCAAAATATTGAACCCTCGCCTGGGTTTAACAGTGATCAGTCGATCACTACTAACAAGGGGAGGAGGAACTATTGTTACAGAGGTTGTCCGACCAACTTGTAGTGGTTAACGGCCCTATGGAGTCTCTAGTGAACTGAACAAATTACTGATGTAAGCCAGGTACAAAGTCACAAAGAGAAAAATACAAGTAAATTTTGACTCACAGTTCAAAATAGGAGATTCCGTAGTTCCGTATTCCGTTGAACCACCACACTAAGAATAGTTCTACCTTCCTGGTATCCCAGATCTCCGGTGATCGAAATATTATTCCACAAGCGTGAATATATTGGTCCAGTGTTTGTAGCTGAAATGTTTGTTCACGTTTAGTGTTAGCAGCGGTCAAATATAGCCAACCGGCGGTCACAACAACAGTCACTCAGCAAAAGTCTCAAAGTCACGTCGGAGCCAACGCGCGGGCGGTAGCGGTTGTATTTCAGTAAAACAAACTTTTGTACAGCGATGTGACTGATAATGATGGGAAAAAAGAACATGATACTGAGCATGAAAAAGAGCAGTTTACAAGTGCTACAAACTCTTTCACTGGTCGCTACCAAAAATCCCACAAAAACTGCCCATCCTGTTTTGCACTCTTATAAGATTCCAGAACGTGTATCGAATCGGCTTGATTCGCAGAATGCTATTGATTAGTAAACTCTACCATGAGCCGGTGAGGTGATACGTGTCCTAAAGCCGTGCACACAATGGACGAAATGAACAGTATTCGCTCATTGGCCTGCACGCAGGTGGTGGTGAGCTGCGGATTCAGCACTAAAGGCTGGTGTAGCGTTCACGTGTGAGAGGGTGAGAAACGCCAAATCGCTGAACATCGTGAGAACACGTAGAGCTCCACAAAAGTTGGATTGCTATACACGTAGGGTCTATTTGTCAGCTGACGAAATCGTTCCACTCTATGGGGTCTGAAATCCCCTGAAACAATTTGCTACGAAACCACGGAGCTAACTGATTATAATAAAGCGAGCAGCAAAGTGTGTGTGTGTGTGTGTGTGAAAGTAAATGGATAATACTGTCCTGGTCTAAGACACCCCCAAGCGATCCTTTGCTCATAAACTGAGGCACTCTTCATCACTGGTTGGGAATGGACAGCTATGTTTTAATGGCTCTGCATTCTATGCTTCTATATTTCTACCGCAATCTGTCATCAAACTATAGTGAAATCAGGTACTGCAGATATTCAGCGCCCCCGGCTTTGTCTCGTTGAGGTCCCCCCCAATGACGCAACGTTCCATGACTTTTGCGTGTGTTCTTGTGCGGTCTTCTTGCCTGTTCTCTTGGAGGAACAATTGGAATCAACCACATCTCATTCATTGCCGATGAGATTTCAAGGATAACTGGTGAATTTCATCAGTTTGACTGTTCAGTTTGGTGGAACATTTCCTTGCAGATTTGGAACAGCAATGACCAGCGATGCTTGACTTTAGATACCTGATCAGTACGGAGACTAGGACCTCGTTCGAAGTGGTGAACAAAAACATCTTCAGGCACTCAATGCGATCGCCTTTTATGTTAAGGCAAGCCTGTTAGAATGTGGAAAGTATGAAATTGTAGACCTGTAATTATATGTTCGCATCTGACTTCGGCTGAATGGTGCTCAACCTCAATTCTGCTCAAGGACACGAACTGGGCCCAGTTGAGGACACACCTCAGGTCTCAGTTCTTTTTTTAAATTATGGCATTGACTAGTTAGAACAATCGCATGTTAACACAAGAGCGTTGGTTCAAACGAGTGATCAAAACAAGGTAGGGTTTTAGCAAATATACACTCATTTGCAAACTAATTTGTTTTTTTTTCGAGAGACTCACCTTGAACCCAGCTGAATCTCACGGTTTTGATGTTTCCAGGCAACTGAGTGTGCTGCACCAGGCCGGTAGGGAATCAGTTTTAGTCACGCCACTGTTCGAAAGTTTATTTCCAAGCAAAGGTTTTGCGTTCAAACTAACTAACTGCTGAATTGTTTGTCGGTAATTCTGTGTGATTTCAAGTGTCATGTTATCATCTCTCGAAACTGCAAGGCGAATAAAACTACTACAATACTGATACTTCAACAGTTAATATTGTAACGACAAATGTTCTATGATAATTTTGGACGATGTGTCACAAGATAATATGCATTCAGTCGGTCATTTGGTCTACTTTAGAATGTAAAGTTTAAATCCAATTCAGAATAGGCATCCTCCTAGTCAACAACTGCGTAATATGAGCATAGAACAAATGGACTTCTGGGTTTTACAACCAACCAGTCGTTCGATAGGGGGCGAAATCAACAACGTGGACGAAAGAGATGAATCAGATAGTGTCTTTCGCTGTATAACAGATTTTTCGGGGCATCGATGGCTACTATGCAATCGTACCCAGTGTGTAGGCGAGGCTGAAATAGAATCTCCTGGAGTCTGTGGATGGCCGACTTAAAAATGCGCTTGGTGAAGCCAGATGAAGAGAACAAGAATGGGATCTTCGGAGAGCCCATGAAGCGGTCGCAACATTCTACGCTTTGCCATAAGTCCCTGACATTTTACAGCGATGACGTTTTGTGAACAGATTGTTACGGTCACACAAACCACTTTTCAAGAAAGAATGGTGCAAAAGGAACAATAGTATTTCAAATATCTTCCAAGACCTGGACTGCATCACCATCATCATCGACAGCATGACATCAGTGTTCAACACCGATGCTTCACTGCCATGACTTATTTGAAAGCCTTATTGTAAAGAAAAGAATAAAGGCGGATGGGGAAGGGACTTAGTGCTAGCTTACTACAATCATTCCGAGGTGTCTACACCCCCAGACATTCACTCAGGCAATCTGGATAGAAACTGACAACAAGAACGCCACTGAAATCGGTTGACAGCCATAGATTGTAGTGTCTCCAACCAGGCACAGTGAGGATCATGCTGTCCCCATCCTGGACTGCAAGTTCTGCACTAATCTACCGATGGTTTTGCACGTTTGATGTGAATAATTAAACGTGGCGTCAGTGACCGGATCGAAATTGATTCCGCTCAATCAAATGAGTAACCCCTTACTCGTTGTAGACTAGAAAATATGGACACAAGGCTTCTGTAGCAGGGGTACTCCAATTTTCAACGATGTCCTCTTTGGTTTTCTCTCTCATTTATACTGGAAGGAGAAAGAAATGAGTTGATTCAGAACTTTACACCGACCAGGACGATTCAAACGAACTTCATCAACGCCATAGCGTTACTTTCTGTTCCTCACGACAAGTGGCGCTAAGCGAGGCTGACGTAAGAAATGTGGTCACATACTCACAATTATATGAACACAAACAGACGAGTCATAGGATGGTGAAATAACATCAAATGATTGCTAAGTCAGTGGAGATCCACTGTGCATGCTGGCATGGTGGCTCATCACACTCGCACAGTTGTATTCATAGCTAAAACCATCTGTTGTTCACTTTGATCTATGCAGCCATTGTCCCCGAAGGTCAAATCTAGCACCGTCTCAAGCCTATCAAAGCCCGATTTCCGGATTTCTAAGATAAATCATTTGCAGATGAGTATGTGATGTGTTCATGTGATGAATACCATAAAATATAGCATAACAAGGGAAAAAAGAAACTAAAGGTGGAATCACCAGAAGGCCAGACCGATCAGACAGCGAAACGCGCCACAACAGAACCAACAAACGAGGCAAACTCTGTGAAGAAACGAACGTGATTTGAAACAGACGACAAGCCTGAAGCGTGAAAAGATGGATAAATTGCAAAAAAAACTATGAAGTGCATGAAGTGGCCCTTAGTATTCGCATAAAAACAAAACGGAAAACTTGGAACACTGATTTGCATAGTGTTTTAGTCCAACCATATTCCATGAATCGATTCAATTACAGATTCGAACACACGCTGATCGAAACTAGTATGAGGTGTGTGTGTGTGTTGGGGGTGGTTGTGGTCGAATAAAGTACATCTGTCTGTCAACAGGGAAGACGTAAATTTTGAATATTCTCAGATGATTTAGAAAACGAGATTAGCCAGAGAAGGTTAGTCACTCTGTTTGACAACAGAACTCAGAGAAATATATTGCCCATCGACTCACGGCACCGGCTCCTGTGAGTGACGAATGCGCTTCTCGGTAATTTGACCTGGTTATAAGCAGCTAGAACACTCTGAGTGGGCCACAATCTCATCCAAGAGGTGTTGTTCCATTTGGATCATCTTTATCAACCGTGTGAACAACCAAAACGGATGATCGAGCAGCCTCATCGGGTTCCTTCTTCAACAGCATAGCGCAATTTTGTCCTTATGAAGTCCCATTCCGTGTTCACGGACCTCACGCTCAAACACAATAGTTCAAATTGTGATTACACAAAACCGATATGTTGTTTTGCTAACGGTTACAAGCTATTTTGCATAATATTCGGCATAATTCAGTCACAAGAGACATTCAGACTGACGAAAATGGACATGACATGGTAAGATGAAACGGTAAATAATTGTTCAGCTGAAACACCCTTTCGGTGCCCAGCTGCCATCCTACCTGAAGCGAGCATGGGGGCTCAGATACTGTCAGGCTACCCAAGCACAGAAACGAGAAGTCCGGATGCAGATGTTGGGTTCGTAACTCGGACCTAACGATCAGTAAGCTGGTGCTCCAGCCACTTGACCATCTCAAGCTCAAGATGAAGGTGTGGGTGACGAGTTGAAGCTATCGTGATGGAGAACTGCCGATGGCTTTGATGTTGGGCGGCAATGGTCTTGGAGTTTACTCAGGACCAGTGGAATAGGTCATGGCCGTCACGGCGCATTGTGAGTTTGCGTTCAATGTCACAGTTTGATGCCGCACACACAGCGAAAGGAAATGAATCCTAAGTGTCGGTCACTTACTATCGGGAATCGCAGGATATTGCCTGTGACCTATCAACCCAACAGCGTGCTCATTTGACTCTTAATCTAATGTTTTGTTCCTTATTATTAGAGTGACTTCTACTCAACGGTAATGCTGACACTGGTCAAGTTATCAAAAAAGAGGTCAAAAAACATTTGATCAGTTGTTAGAGCACGAATTTACCGACCGGAATGTCCGGCCTCTGCATCTCGACTTCTCCAATCTAGGCTTGGTCAAACTGGCAATATCTCACCCCTGGTACTTCCTTCAAGTGGCATGACAGCTAGGCACTGAAAGGGTATTACAACTGAACGATTTATTTTGGAAACTATGCACTATAGTGGAGGAAAAATTGAAGTGCGCAAAATGCACAACCTTTCTGAGATTTAACGTGGAACTCGCCAAATACACCAAGTGTCTTCTCCGGCCCGAAACTTACTTAGTCAAATCCCATTTCAGTTTAATGAAGTAATTTGTATTGCAGAACAAAATGCACACAAAACAATAACGACCCACATAGATTCTTAGAAGGTCAGTAGGTCAAAGCGTATTGATCAAGCGTTAATCTAGGCAGATTTTGCACAATTCTCGGGACAAAGTAGGACGGAACCACGGTTCATTTGTCCCTGAAGTCACTGCTTTTGGACAGCCCATTACATATTTCTGCTCTGTATAAAGCTAGGATTATTCTACTGTTCATTTGCATTTTGCGTCATATTGGTCTGAGTTCACGTAAAACTAAAAGTTCCTTTCAAAGTAAACGAAAACTACCAGCTATTCAATATTAAATTCTAACAAGAAGTTCCTGTTACAATTAATCGTTTATAAGCAAACACACGAAACTCCTAAAAGGACAAACTTGATTGTACGATCACCAGGAATTAATAAAACTTGCAAAAGTACCGTGTGTCTCGTTCAATTGTAAAGTAAATAGTAGATTTTCAAAGCGCGTGGTCAGTCTGTGATCTGGCGATAAGTCGGGTTTTACACTTCGGGTTGCCCTCCTTCACTTAAGTCCATGATTGTCGATAGAACAGACAAGCATTTTAGAATTTCCGCTCACTGTTTGACGTGTTCGAAGGTCAAACTACGATAGCCAACCAAAGAGAGTACAGAAGCACACTGGATTGCATATAACGGAGAGGGCGAGAAACCTTATCCGCGAATGACAAACAAAATGAAAACAGCCCTTATGCACATTTTGTTCACTACATTGATTTCTTATGGTCTTTGTTACGAACGAGGTAAGCGGCGCACATCCTAATTTTTACTACCGACTGCCTTGGTTTAATGAAAACCTACTTTTGGGAAATTTGTTTGATTTTGTAAAAATTTTCAGAAATCTTGATATCCCAGTGGGCCAAACCGGGGCGTGGAGATGAACCAGGTGGCTTCACATGCGGAAACGTGAGTTGTCTTTTTTTGTCTTTATCTTGAAGTTGATTCCATTGAAGTTAATCATGTTGCTTCAACTGATTAGTATTCACTGGAACCAATATATAAATATATAGTATATGTGTGTATATATTCAAAATAGCTGAGTTCGAATAAGACACGTGTATTTTGACCAATTACAGCTTGAACAAATAGCTTCAAAATTCTGGAAGAGGGGTCAATTCTATGGTTGTACTGAATTTGGGCAGTCAGACAACATGTTCTTACTCAAGTTCAAGACAAACATTGACATTTGGAGCCGAGAATATCGGGGACTAGACGGGGACGCACTTCTGTGGCTTGCGACCCGAATGGTGAATGACTACGGAGGGAACTGTCGTACAGTGTCAGGTAAGCAAGCAGACTTGTTAGTGACCACGACCGGCAACGCAAAAGTCCAAAATCGTCCATATTCCGGAATAGGTCATCTCTTTTGGAAGTTATCATTTCGATTCTCGTTGTCCTGTTTACGCTACTGACCAGTGATACTTCTGAACCGTTTTTGTTCTCAAAAGAATGACTAACTCTTTTGGATGGGCTCAGGAGTGCCCGAACATTTCAACCTTTGTTTTCACAGGTGGAGCTGATTTTATTTGTGAGTAGCGTGATACACGTGCAAATTAAGCTATCACGTCCAAGGTTAGCTTGCTGTGACTACTATATTCCAACATTTCATTTTTATTGGCAGTTGTGTTTTTTTTTTGAACGCTTTGCGGGAGGATTCTGGCCTTCGCCTGATGACTAAGTGTCTTGTTGTTTTGTTTCCTCTTCGTTTTACTCGTATTGTTTAACCTCGTCAAGGGAAATTCACAGCCACCCCTCATCGCAGCACGTCAAAAAAAACATGGCAACCTAGATAAATAGGAAGAGTACGTTTCCGTGTTTGCATTTCTCCTACTTGTGTATGGCTTGAAGAAGACACTTGTATGGAAATACAAGCTCCTTTATGAACTTGTGTCTCCATGTGGCTTGCGCTTTTGACTATCACAAGAGAACGGAACAACTTGCGTTTTTATAGCTTCACCCGGTGGGCGAACTTGCAGATTTCGCTTCTAAATACTCGGGCCACCGGCCTCATTTTGTTATGCTGCACACATGGTGCTTTATCGACAAAGACGTGAGAGATACCGCAGTAAAACTTAGGCCCCAATCGGAAAACCTCTGAAAAGCAAGTTTGAGAAGAAAACCTTTCCGGCAAATAATGTTCAAGACTGTTTGCTTATGATGATACGTATACATCTCATATCTATCAACGTCGCATTGTTTATCGGAGAGAAATAATGCAGCCACGTGCATTTGCACTTATATGACCTTAACATTAGGGCAACCCAGAAAATCACCGACATTTATAGCCACTCCATGCCAAAAGAGACAAATTTTTGGGTTTCGAAGACATTGATCAACGTTAGGTTGCACTCGTTTCAGACGGCTCTGTAAAATCCCCGTTTTATGGTATTTTTTATCAACCCCCTTTGTTGTGTTTCCGAACAAAACAAAGCCTTGTTAAACGCTAATCTTCCGGAATCTGTAGGTTTTAGCTTTAACCTCTACAGGAAACGCTCTTCGAGGCTTTAACGCATCTGGATTTGGTTAGCACACCAATGTTCGCAACAGAATTTAATAATATTGCTTTATTTGGTTTTTAACAATAAAAAAACACTTTAACAAACCTGACTGCCTCGCAGTTTGCAAACAAAAGACTGGGACCAATAGCCGAAATGATTGATACCTTGACTCCATGCCTTCAGGACAGCTAACTGTCTCTACCATACGCCCGATAGAACTTCTTGTGTCTCTGTTCAAATTCCACATATCAATACATTCTCGACTTCCGTCCAAACAAAGTGAATGACAACCATTCATCACTGAAGTCTTAGGATCTGTATTTCAACGACGAGGGGATGGTGAACTAATTCACCGTCAGTATAGTTCAGACATTCGAAAACGAGTGACTTCGTTTCATGTTGGACTGTGTAGTTTCTCTCCATAGTGGAGAACCATGTACTGCAGAATCTTTAGAATTCGCTGTGGTACCAGCCAGGCTTATTAATTTGTTGCAGATTGACACTGGCATCATAAACTGAGGTGATTCGAGACTTAATTCACGAACCCACAGGTTATGCGCTAAAGTTGCCAAATTATTAGAAAGAGTGAACTGAAATTAGAAAATTGCGCTACTTGCTACATTTGATGGTTTTCTCCCGAAGCTCAGTAGAATTGTTCCCAGGATGGTCTAAGTGATCGACTTGACCAGTACTGTTCTCAATTAGTCCGATTTGAAGTCGTTCTTGGTCGTGGTGTGCTTCCCAAAGGATGCATAATTTGCGAGATTGTCGAATTTTATGTCAGAGTGAACTGAAATTAGAAAATTGCGCTACTTGCTACATTTGATGGTTTTCTCCCGAAGCTCAGTAGAATTGTTCCCAGGATGGTCTAAGTGATCGACTTGACCAGTACTGTTCTCAATTAGTCCGATTTGAAGTCGTTCTTGGTCGTGGTGTGCTTCCCAAAGGATGCATAATTTGCGAGATTGTCGAATCGGTTTTATGTCAACCACAAAACTACAGTGATGACAACCCCGGGTGTGACGTGTCTACGTATTAGTTGATAGATCTGTAGTCCCGTCAACAAACAAATTTTGGCGCGGCTCTTTTATTCGAATTACTGCATCACATCATCGTGGTCACCAAAATTGTGCAGGACAAATGTGTAAGAAGTTTAGCTTTCGTGAACCCGTCGCCTTCCACAAGAAGTGGGAGCACTAGTCCCAGCTACGACTGTTGATCATATACACAGGTCTGATTCATACACCTTTTACAGGATCGCGCTATCACCAAAGTGTTTGTATGAAACGATAAATGAGAGATTACTCTAGTCATCACCAACCCGATTTTTCAAAGACCGATGGAAGATGGTAGCTGCGATATTTTCCATCAGCTTGGATTAGTTTACACCTCATTGCAGCTAGCTGACGGAATTTTCGGAAATATTGGTTTCGCAGTTTTTAGCTACAAGGATTGTTGGACTTCATACGTGTTCCGAAGAATTCTCAAGTGGTCACGTGTCCTAGATTATTGAATGAACTGTTCCGGCGACGTCCATAATCTTGTTTAATTTTCCGTTTTATCAACCACAGAATTTTATGACTCTGGATCGACAGGTTCCGCAGAAAGTACGTGAGTTAAACAAATAATCAAAGTCGTCCAAGTTTATATGCGTGTCGTGTAGTTCCTTTTGACAAAAAGTAGTGTCCCTCAAGAGTTGAGGTAAAATTTCCGTCGGTACACCTTCTTCGGCGGTCGTCAGAGAACTTCTGTGCTAGGTTCGAAGCTTCTTTCGTTTTTAGCGCCATACTAATGATCAAGCAAAGCTAAGTAAAAGCCTGGCTGTATGTAGTAAGAAGTGCGTGGACAATATGAGACACCTGGGCGAAATTTGGAACCTGTATTATCACATGAGACAGTTCAGCAGCGAGACGGTAAGTTTTCGACCCACCGAGCATCATTCTCATATCGGTGACGCCAGTCGACACCTTATTCATTACTTGTAACGGTCAATCTACAGCGACTTTTGCGCACATTTCTTGATGATACATAAAAGCAAAACCAGTTTGCATCTGCCACATCAGTGATTATTGCAAACGCTGAGGATAGACAACAAAACAAACGATGTTTTTGTCCTAACAATCATCCCATCTGCATAATAGAACAACACAATTCCTGATTTTCCCAGCCATCATGCTCACAGGGTTGTACCAGAAGAGGTTTTGCCGCGAGGTACGTCATCCTCCGTTTGTTCGTTGAAAAAAAACCCTACCATAGTCATCCATCCACCATTGCTTACTCTACCGATTTCAGCTAATGGAAAGGCAGTTCGATGGCTACAAAGTCACCTCGTGTGATTCTATTAAAACAAGAGAGGGACTACTTCAAAAGATCCAAGTTTCAACCTATCAGGTGCGGCTCAGTGTCCCTGTCGAGAGACAAATTGTTCTGGATCTCATCAGTCAGCTGAATAATGGGTTGGCCAAATGCCGTTACAATGCCTATGCAGTTCGCCAGCAGGCACAACAAAGTTACCTCTTCAACTAATCGCAAAAGTAAGCCATCTTTAACGAGCGAGTTTATTTTAAGAGGCAGAGTTTTTGCGACTGGTCTACCTGTTCCCTTAGTGAAAGAGAAATGATTTTTAACCTGTTTTGATGAAACAACTAAGCACCTCTATGTGAACCGATTTAGGTCCGTAAGACAAAACTGACCATATATGAAAGAGACTGTTCTTGACAGCCAAGCATGCAACAAGTTGTTTTCCGGTGGTAAAACCGTTATAATCTGGAATTCTCAACACTGGGTTCAAAGATACTTCGGACGCGGACCTGACAAGGCATTCGAATTTGAAGATAGCGATGACTCAGGTCGCATATCCACAGATTGCACAAGATCGATCAGAATGTGAGTTGTCGATACAACGAACTACTCACAGGAGAACTCCAAGGATAAACTTGATCGGAACTAATGTGATAATCATAGATGCCCCACATGAACAGCGCTCCTATAAACTGAAGGAAACAGTTCAATTTTGTGATGCTGTGCAGTTTGAGTAGTTCTGTATCAACAAAACTCCCCGGCATCGTCAGAATACATGTTTTTCACGAGTTGTGTGCTCCTTAGAACACGCTACTATTCAGCGGACAAGTTTGCATGGTGGCTTCCATGTTTATGAATTCAAATGACTTGGACAACTCTGAAAGGTCAAGGCTAATTAGAGTCGCGATGAAGTTGACCTTCTTCTAGACCCTTGCTTAAAAAGCCACAACGACTTTATCTTTTTGCAACGTGGAAGCCTTCCACATGTTACTATTGAAATGTATGCATTAACTGTAAGTTAAGTACTAGAGTTTTGCATGTTTTGAATGTCTACAGATCATGCTTGATCATCGTGATGAGTGAAAATCACATGCGAGGAAGTCAAAAACTCGCTCACAACTGATGAGTTCACTCAGTACCATTACAACTGTGGAATGTTTACGGAGGTTAGACGGACCTGGTCGCACTTAGTGCATTCACCAGGGGTGGAAGATGCCAAGACAGGTGGGGAAGGTAAAAGTGAAATGGAAAAACGAGGAATTGAGAGCAAGGAACGAATATTAAAACTAAATCTCTACAAGCATGAAATATGAGCAAAAACTGTAGCTTTCCGGCATGACTGCTGTGGCTGTTTGAAAACACCAATGGCCAGCAACGAAACGGATCTTCACATCCGTGTTCGGTCTGCCATTCGACGGGCTGTCCATGAAAAACAACCACTCCAATTACAACCATTCTACCTCGAGCTCTGTCCGAAGTACAAATCTTTCGACAAACCACTCAACACAGTGACTACTCTAGGCGTATCTGAGTGGCATTTAGCCTCTTGGCAAAGATCAGAATGCAAGCTTCCTGTCATCAATGTGGCACTTATGCCCCCTGAGCACACAGAAATCTCCTCACACTGCCAACAATCTGTAAGTAGCTCAATGGAAGAATGAACATCACCCGTTAAGCTGAACTTTCATCTAGGAAGTCGTTGTTCGAGGAGCCAGTCAACACGTGTGACCACGTGATGTGGATTCCGTGGTCGAAGGACGAGCGGCGATGAATCTTGTCTAAGTGCGAGTTACTCACGCCGTTGATCAGCTGCCCGCGGCTGAACGGTTAAATGTTCAAACTACTAGCCAGGAGGTCGCGGGTTCAAGGCTCGCCGGAGTTTTGTGAGGTGTGCACTGATGATGATTCCCAATAAGGATGAAACAGCTGTACAGTGCTTCTCGGCTTTTCAGCATAGATCGGCTTCACTTACAGAACGAAATCTCCACACAAAAACACAAATTCGCTTCCAAAGTAGTGGGTGTTTTCTGACCTGAACTTCAAAACTACGACAACGCTTTAAAATTAGACTCCTATGAAGGGAGTTGCTAATTCATCTGTGAAGAACACACCTTAAATGATGCCGTTAACTATTCGTTCTGCGAGGATTTACATCCCTCGTAGAATAGATCAGATATCGAATGTGACCACCTCTGACAAGTCGTATGTTGTATACAGTTCTAAAAATCTTAATACACGTTACTTTTTTAGGAATAGTCTTATAGAAGGTCGGTTTGGTGTAATTTCTTCGAAGAGATTCTGTGTAAAATAATTTCAGTTATCCTCTCCTGAGGGGTCACTGCAACGGACCCCCAGAAGGACTCTCTCCTGCATGTTGGTCACTTACAAGAAAGGGCTTTCTACCAAAGCACGCTTTGTAGATTGTCTGTCTTCTACGAAGCTACTCTCTTCAGAGGTACCATCTAATAACTGTAAGTTCAGTCTCTCAAGGTCGTTATGGTACTGGAGTTTAGACTGGAACATCATCCGATGACGCACATCACGCATCAGACATTAAACATGCCCATTAGTGGATAGAAAGCTCACGGGGAAGTAGAATATTTTCAGCGAGTTGCTCAACATTTCGGACTAAATCAAGGGTCTCTGATAGATTTCTTGCAGACATTCTTGTGGTGTTTTACAAACGTTTTTACCATGGTGATGTAGCTCGAAGACGGCAAGGTAAACCTCATAATAAAAAAGTATTTACTACGTTGTAATTGATTCAATGGAAGCAGCAGTATTAATGCAGCAGCTTTAGTAAGTCAGTATGATTTTACTTAAACGTCAGGTGCGTACATCAGGACAAAATGAGCCGCCTTCGAAATTGGCCATTGTTCGTGGCACACTGTAGACACACAAATTCTGTATATTCCTGAGGATGGCTGAGTTGATATCAGGTCACCCAATTCCAGACACGAGCAATCAAAAGACAAGGGTTGTATAATAACCGAATCCTCTTGGATTGGTCCATTTTTGTCCCCAAGCTTCTAGATAATTCACGCGTTGTTGAATTTATGACCGTCTTTTTGATTGGGTGAGTATCCAATGGCCTGTGGCGAGAATTTTCAACCAGCAAGTGGCGAATGCTTACAGTTTACTAAACTCTCATAAACTTTTCCTTCAGTCTCAACAATGATAAATATCACTGAATCGCTCTTCCTTTTTCTCCCAAAAAAAACCCGGCCCAGAAACGTGATCAATCCTTGCGCATGGAAACAACAACTTTGTCTATCAAATTTACCTATTAAAAACGGTGCCCTCAACATGTTTTCGTATCAAACATCCAGTAGCGGGACAAGTCTAGAAGCAAGGTCATCGTAAAAAGGACACCAGGCAAATATGGGAAATCCTGTTACGTGCACATTGACCCCCAACGTGAACAGAATGGCTATTGTTGGTAGTGTGAGGAGATTTGGAATTTTTGTGGGATTTCGTCCTGCAAGTGAAGCCAATCTATGCTGAAAAGCCGAGCTGCACTGTACAGCTGTTTCATCCTTATTGGGAATCATCAGCAGTGCGCATCTCACGAAACTCCGAAGAGTCTGGAACCCGCGACCTCCCGGCTAGTAGCTTGAACACTTGACCGTTCGGCCACGAGTGGCTGATCAGCAGTGTGATTAACTCTCACTTAGACAGGATATAGCGCTGCTCATCCCTCACTCACGGGATCCACATCACGCGGTCAAACGTGTTGACTGGCTCCTCACACTGCTGATCAACCACTCGTGACCAAACGGTTAGGTGTTCAAATTACTAGCCGGGAGGTCGTGGGTTCGAGACTCTTCGGAGTTTCTTGAGATGCGCACTGCTGATGATTCCCAATAAGGATGAAACAGTGGTACAGTGCTTCTCGGCTTTTCAGCATAGTTTGGCTTCACTTACAGGACGAAATCCCACAAGAATGGCTATTTGCTGAATGCCGAAGTCAATACATTCCGCATAAATGGGTCTTGGGCAGCCAGTTGTTTCACTAGTGATTTCGCACTCGAATTCAGTCAATCAGTGAGAGCACAAAGTGCTGGACGGTGGTTACAACGAAGCCTCTCATAACGGACGCATTGGGAGAGGCAAAGTGCCCTGAATTGTGAATATGGGTTGAATCTACGTTACGTCCAATCCTTCAACAGAAATCGACATGCACCTTTTACTGTTACAGTCCGATGATGTGGGAAATCCGTACTCAACTTTTCAGTTGGTCACACAGAGAACATTGAATTTTCAAGGATTTTATGCCCTGATATCGAGACTACGTTATACTTACAATATATGTATTGATCATGACTACAATAAGCCATATGAATTGGGGCCACCTGGCAACTTCGGTAGACATTGCACGCACTGTCACCTCTATGCTCAAGTGGTGAGGCATCTTTTGATGTTTACAAACAGTCGCTACTGAATGAGACTGGGACCTTGGTTGTAGGAAACATGAACGTACTTTCGCTGTGTCACAGTCACAGGTACAGACTCTGGCATACAAGTGGTGAACAATTCATGTGCAGAAATTCAACAAATAGTTCTCAAGCCTTTAGCCGATCACAACCGCATCCTTATTATGTATGGACCGCGTGAAACGTTGAATAAGAAGGGTAGGAATAAAACAGCTACACTTTTGAAATATCTTGGGGCTTTAGCAGTATGGATATTTTGAGGAACCTTTCCTACAATTGGGGTTGTGCATGCAGTCCCGCCGGAAGGCGGCCAAAAATCAAGAGAGCCTTAGTCGACCTTTCTCTTCCAGAGTGTAATCTCAAAGGTCATATGCGGTCCTACTTGAGTTGCGAAAGCTGCTCACTCGTATCTACAAGATTACCCGACAAGATTCATCCAACCTTGTTGAAAACCATAATACAAACTACCAAGCCTTTTTGTGTGGACAGCAGAACGAGAAAGTCGAGTACACACCTTGTAAAATAACTAGATTGTGACCATCCAGCTTTACTTACACACTCAATGTCATAAACTAGGATATGTGTACGCATCTTTGACCATCTTTAGGATGCACAAGTCATCACCCACCAGCATATTTTCAAACGCACTATGTTGGTTGCTTGGATTCAAGTGCATAGCAGTTACACACCTTCGAAATCTGCGGACACTCGTATGGATTTAGGTTGCCGCAGGTGTGAAGGCTGGTTCGTATGGATTTAGGTTGCAGCAGATGCGTGTGAAGGCTGGGTGGCTACTGTTTGGAGGCATCCACATACATGATAGCCTCGTCCTTTCGACAGACGCAACTGAGTAGATTCTGTGTGCTCTCAAGACTACACCTTCCCCGATAAATGAAGCATTCATCGTATTGCGGTCCCATTGCAAATGTTTGAGTATTCTAGGAATTGGAATCGAGATAGGGACTGTAAGTGGAGCAAATATGAAATATCGGAGCATGAGCAGACAGTGGACAAATGTCCAGTGTTGACTGCAGCCCTTTCCAAATTTCCCCTTGGTGTTCTATGCCTTTCACAACGTTTGAATTTTTAGCTACTTACAATTAATGTAGTAGCATATTTGAGATGCGAAGTTTCTTCAGTCGGCCTTCATGCGGTCACTGAACGATCTAGTATTCTAAGGTGTTGAACCAATAAGTTCAAGCTCCTCTGCCTTAGAGTAGGTATTCCTTACGCGCGGTATTGCATTTGCAGTGCTCTACGCCGAAAACCATCAAATGAGTTATGTGAATCTATAACTGGTCGTATTTCTCAGCACTTGGGACACTTAGGATAAGGAGACAAAAACTGATCATAAGCTGTGAGGCTACAATCCATTAAGAAGCAAATTTTACTGAGCACACGCACATTAAATCTGATATCACACACGGGCAATATGTGTAAAAAACAGCGGCATAAGTTCGTGTACGCAATGGACAATCAACCATTGAATAAGTGGGTATAATGACTGAGGAAAATCAACACCAAGTTAAAGTTGCGGCCTGGTTAATGCAAGCAATACCCCAGGAGAAGCTCAATCTGTTGATGGTAAATGCTCGCGCTACACTATGAACCAAATATCTGCATCGTTTTTTGTGTGTCCAAGCAACCTCCAGAATGCCTGATACTAATTATGCGGCCAGAATTTCTCACTCGATTGAAGAACAAAGTTTTATAGAATCGTTGTCGTCGGCTCATGGAAACATGCGCAGTCAGTACCACATAGGTATATAAATCTAATACACCAGACTTTGTGACCTAACGATTTTCGAGGAGAGTCAGGGCACTCGATATATAGTACACCAGTGTTAATCCATTGTCCCAATGGTGCCAAAGGGTCCCTGAATCAGATCAAATTAATAAAGACAGCCGCAGCACCGAAATCAATCTCATCGCACTTCAACATCCGAAAAGCCGGATTGAAACAGTTCTGTCGGCATTTCGATTTCCGCATGCTACTGTGCTGGTTTATGAAATCGTTAGCTGGTATTTTGCGACGGCATCAATCTGTTTATCCAGATGGCACGCTCCTTATATTGCATGGCCCATAAAATAAGTAGGTTTCGAATTATGGAATGTACTACTACGGAATGTACTACTCATAAGGTTGCTGAAAACCTGTCGACAGCCCATACCGGTTTCGCCCTTTTTGGAGCTCACCAGGTAGGCGCAGTCCCCGGGTTTCCGTCAACCTTATGTTCTACTTGGAACCAAATTGCACAAAATTATCGAATATACACACATTTGCAAAGTGATTTGATTTTTCGATTTACCCATCTAAAAGTGCTGGCATCTTAATTTTTCAGACGCCACTGTAAGGAGGAATGAAGTGTACTATCCCAATGTTGCAGTCAAATGCAGCCAAGTGGAAACCACTTCTTGCCAACCAATCCAAGACTGCACATTACCCACGAACTTTCAAGTTGTACTTTTGCATACCCGCTATCACTGTATCTCTCACTGGCGTTCTGATCTGACAGAATAATGAACCAAAGCAGATTCACCACTCTCCTGTGACCGGAAATTCAATCTGGTTGGTAGTAATAGTGGGCCTCATGATGGCAATCAATTCACATATTGCAGAAATTATAACGTACAAAAGCTTGTATTCTCCTTGTGAAATTCCGGGGTTCATTCCTCACCGTTGCTGACCATAGCATTTTGTTCCAACTGTCTATTGTGATGAGACAATACGAGCAATTTCGTTCGTTTGCAGAGTATCAATGGCTTTCATCAAATGATATCTGGGGAAAGAGAGCAGCGGCGCCAAAAAACACGGAGTGTCCGCTCTGGTTCTGTAAGGCCTATGAAGTCAGACACATCCGGTAGAGCTGACAAATGCCTGCGTTACCTGTTCCGCTCACGGTGAGCACTTTCAAGCATTTAAGGCATGAATTCGCCATTCCTAATAGGGCGAACTAGACAGTGAAACGAGAACGATAGTCCACAACCGAAAGCAGCCTGAGGAGATAGGGAGAAGTGGCGGGATTAAAAGTGTGTAAGATTAGAATATGAAGTCCTTTTTTACTAGACGAGGCTGAAAATCACCTCTTCAGTAACCAGAGATACCATACTGGGGGAGGGAGGGGGGGAAACCGCATCAGTAAAGCGTCTTTGGAATAGTGATTGTAGAAGATCTACGAAAGATTGAGGGGGAAGCGGCAGGATTAAAAGCGTGTAATATTAGAATATGAAGCCTTTTTTTACTAGACAAGACTGAAAATCACCTCTTCAGTAGCCGGAGATACCATACTGGGGGAGCGAAATCCGCATCAGTAGAGCGTCGCCTGAATGGTGAGTGTAGAAGATCTACGAAAGATTGAGAACACTCGGTCATTACCCGTTTCAGTTTATGGTGTGCCTGAGGTTTCAGCATAATAAAGTGGTAGTAAACATCACCTGTTCGTTGGAATCAGAGCTGATATTTCACGAAATCCATCTAAGCTCGACTGGAGAACATCGACTTTCAAAAGCAGTAACATTGTCCGCATAACCCAAAAATTTTCGGCACAAAACAAGGAAAAAGGATAGGGAAGACCTCCTAAGAAAACCGGAGAAAAGTGTCCTAAGGTGACGTAGATAAAAACCCCGAGATAGACCATTCTGAAGTGAGGACATCCTCTTGGAAAGCATCCCGTTCTGATTTTCCTTACCCTATCTGGTTGAGCTCAAATGTCACTCATATGTGGTACTATTTGAAGTAGTGTAAAAAATGTTTTTTTTGCTCTGTGAGATTCGCTTTTCATAGATGACCTACCTCACTGTATCAACCCGCGAAGAAGTAACGACGTATCAAGGCTAGCCGGAACTTACCTGCTGAGATCGACTGTTGTAACTGGCCCTGGTATTTGCTGACCAGTTCATCGACGCTCAAATCGGTCCGTTTGAGATTCAAACCTTCCAGATTCATGGATCACTCTGAGATGACAGATTTGCAGATCAGCTTAATTTTAAACTGCGGAACGATTGCGTTCGTCGGGAAACTGACGAAGCGTCAGATGGAAATGCTTCGTCAATGTGAACCACGTTTATTTTAAAATCCCTGGATGGACCTCAAAGCACCGAAAGGGATCATCTTGTATAAAATTTGTTGAACACCCAATCCGTGAAGACCTAATTAGTCAGAAGCTATTTGCGTTTACACTTCGTTATGGTTGGATGTGGTAGGTTAGCTGTTGTAGTAAAATGCGTAAGGTTAGTTGCAGTAAAAATAGTCGGGTCCACAACTGCTCTCTTTTCGGATTAGAACCGCGGGATGCAACTCATAACTCGCTGATAAACTTAGCAGAAATGGCCCAGTCGTGCAGTCAGTGGTGAGCGTGCATCGCCTTTAATGCGTAGCCACTGAATTCATGAGCCAACCGAGCATGCCATCGCGAGCCTTGACTCACCTCGAGCATCACCGATGGGTCGGCGACGGTTGAGTAGAAGCCACGTTCAGTTTGACCACTGTGCTTTTAGGAACACAGCTGTCAACAGCTACCAACAGGACCCTTGTTTCGAGCCTCCCATCAAGGACAGATTCGGACCAGTTCTCACGCCTTTTCAAAATGGAGAGCCTCATGAGAATACTGAGTGAGAATTTGAATGCTCAACTCAATCTCATCGCTTGGAAATTTGATTCAATAACTTTATCCGGGCATTTCGTATGTCATCCCACAAAATTCATTCAGACTGGCGGTATGTAAAACGATAAACAATTCCTCGTGAGCGTCACTTTAATGCATCACCAAGTCGTAACCGCGTTGAATCTAGTACCAGCTGTCTTGTTTCCAAAACTACGCGCGTTGGGGTGTCTGCTTAAATTATAATCTACCGAGTGAGTCTTTACAAACACGCTTCTGAGGCGCCAGTTACCGGTGAGACAAAAGTTTATTGCATTGGTGGTCTGCTTTATCTACTTATGTCAATCGATAGTAAAACACTTATTCGCCAAGTATCAAACTTGCAGTGAACCATTCAATCGATTTTTATCGGATCAATAAGCAGGCCGGAGCTGCTTTAGTGGTGTTCGTTTGGATTCCTTTGATAACAGACACATTCGTGACCGAAACATGATTACGTCAGCACAGTTTGTTCTTCTATTTGTTTTCAATTTCCTGCACAATGGAACACAGCCCATCAGTCAATGCAACCGCCACATGCTCGTCTAAATGCCCAGGCACTGACTTGGTAAAATGCGATCTCGCCTATTTTCCGTTCATAAGGAATAACAACAGTTTGGAGGCTCTAGGAGCTATGCTAAAAAGTAACGTCATTGCTGGGAGTGCCTGCATTCCACTTCAGAAATGACGCTGATCTTTCTCCAACAGCCAGAAGTTTCATTTTGCCAAACTAAGAATCAACCGCCTGTCTACCCGAATCGGCCACAATATTAATAATGAAGACAAGCAATTGGTTGCGTACAAATTCGGGTTATGAAATGATTGTGGGCATAACAAGCCTATTTCTGTCAAAATCAAGTGGAATGAAGTGTCCCAGTAGTTTGTTAGATGATCCGAGTTACAACAAGATACCATATCTATGACCGAATTGCTTGTAGCAAAGGGATACATCGGTAATCGCATTTCGATTATTCGTGTGCGCATATTCCTACAACTAATGGCAACGTGAGACTGTGACAACCCGTTCGGAATTCGGTTCAAATCTAGGACAAACCAAATTTGAAGCTAACATTTCCGACTGGACCCCTGTCCCTTCTGGCGATCCTGTGATCTAGTTTATTTCTCTGGTAATCAGTTCGGTTAGATTTAATTGATTTTGTTGTTAAACTTCGATGTGTTGCGATGCACGCATCGTATCCAGTTCAAAGTACAGTTTGGTTGGGGATCTCCTCGGTGAATCCTACCTCCCGTTTTGGAATCAACACGTTTTCTGAGTTAACGGCCCATCTGGCTTACATTCGAAGTGATTCCTGCCTTCAAGCTCGCCAGATATCTGTTGATCCATGTAAAATTTATCTTGGTTTTTTTCAGTACAGTGCTTATTATCCTCATCGAAGTCAAACCGAAAGTTAGCACGACTTAAACTTCATTGCTTGAAGTTTTCCTCCAGACTTAGAATAGCTCCCTGGAAGATCATACTTGTTTCGTAATCTGTTCTAATTCTGTTTACATGCAGTAATCTTGCTGAATGTAACCTTGGTTTTTGTTTGCCTCTCCTCATCGCCCTTCTCGTTGCCCCTGAGGAGAACACAATGGGAACATGCGCACAAAATGTCATGATGCCTCGGACGTTATCCAGATGGTTCTATGAGGGGGATCAACCTAGCGTACTTGGTGAGACTCACTCAAACTGAGGACAGCGCACGAACGGTGAAATTAAGCCAGGCAGTGCGACCAATGAATGGCTGCCTGCGTCTCACTGTGATCCGTTGCATACTATGCCGTGCAGAGTTTCAAACCAACTACGAGAATGGCCACTTGGTTCCCAGCCACAAAGAAGCACACATCAGGCAGTAGCCGCTTTCATTTGACGTTACAACCTCAGTGAACCTTTCGGTAGACGGTTCGAAAAACTTAGCGTAGTCCCCGAGCAGTTGACACCACCTAATTGATGACTCGCTGCAGCCAGATTACTATAGCTATGCTATGAAATCACCGGGTGTCAAACACGAAAAGTCGGCAATGTCTCAGTTTATCTGCTGTCCCATACCCATACAGTCTCATTCATATCTTGCTAAACCAAGCGTATTTTTCATCCGGACGTTAACGGCTAATTAGCACGTGAGGTACTTCAACCGAACACAAAGATCAGTGGAATCTGGTCATTTCTGACGTACAATGATGTGACCGGTTGCCATCGTTTCGACCTCAAATGAATGAGGAAAACATAAGTCTGCATTTCGAATTCGAGTTGCTCATCTTCAATTGGGTTCGAAACTGTCGATCGAACAGGCAAGCATTTTAAGATTTCCGCTCACTGTGTGACGCGTTCGAAGGTCATGCTACGATAACCAATCAAAGAGAGCACAGAAGCACACTGTACTGCATATAACTAAGCAGGTTGAATGTCTAATCCGTGAATGGTGATCAAAATGAAAACAACTCTTCATCACATTTTGTTCACCATACTGATCAGTAATGGTCTTTGTCACGAACGAGGTAGGCAAGATCAGGAAAACGTATCCCAGTTTCCACTACCGTTTGTCATGGCTTGATGAACATACTTTTGAAAAACCTAATTCCGTGAAGTCTTTCAGAAATCCTGTTATCCCAATTGGCCAAACCAAGGCGTGGAGATGAACCAAGTGGTCTCACATGCGAAGACGTAAGTTGTCATTTTTCGTCTGGTTTTCTTGAAGTTGATTCCATTGAAATTGAGCATGTTGCTTCAAATGACTTGTATTCACAGGAACTAATATTAGCCCAGTTGCGTTCATCGGGGTTTTTTGATCACGTGGATGTTGACTTGTTTGTTCCAGCCAGAAAAATGACTTGCAAACGTTCTGACAGCTGTCCTACAGGCATCATTACAACCAGCCTCGGTAGTTTGATTTATCATCGTTTTTGGTCCAATAAAATGATAACTTTTGGTTGACTACCGATAACCAGGAGTTCAGTCGTTTCTCAAAATTCATTTTCACTCTTTTCTTCCTCAATAAATCGTGGGGAGATGTATGGAATACACCGAGGTTATACCTACCTGGCATGTACCTGTATACGTACACCTGGCATACATTCCGAATACCGGTGTACCACTGACTATTTGCCATGAAAAATCCCCTCGCAGTGGAGCGGTATATCAGTCAAAGTGATTTGATACGCCGTTACATTGTCATATTTCCCTTAACTCAAATGGTAGTGAGCAGTGGAAAAAGCTATGGCTTTAGGACAACAACCACGCGGTTTGTTATGATGTGCTGGAATTACTGATCACCCGAATCCAAATAACGATACCAAGGAGATTCCTTACGAGGACGTCGAGTGCTGTGGTTGAATTTTGAAATGTTTGGACTTATGGAATTAGGACCATTATGCCTATGTTCAGTTGAGATCTTCTCCGAATGCGTTGTTTTAATACACCGGGGGTGATAGATGGTCCCGAATGGATTTTGAAAGTTGATCAGCCAGTATGGGGGGTATTATCGTACCCCTGACCCACGGCACTGCTTCCAGCTTTTATTCACAGCACCCCCTAGTTCATGTGGAGTTATTTCAATGGTGATTAATTGCAAACAGCTCTTCGTTCTTTAGACGTATTGCTTGCTTGTCAATTTGCTGCCTCACTGCTTAATCGCCCATTGGGCTCGGAACAACCAATGAGAGCCATTTGAGAGTTTTACAGTTGTACATTTTCCCATATAGAAACCAAGAATTACGGGGAGAACAAGAATAGGACCAAGAAATTTTTCTCTAGCCCATTGAGTTTGTAACCCCCAGCTGACAGGACAGGATTGTGGCCGTCCCACATTCATCAAGTGTTCATTGGTGATTTAAAATCACCAATCAAGAATCAATCATTCAGTCAATCAAAAACCAAGTTTTTTTCAAATTCTGATAGACAGACTCCCTAAATCCACATTGCTAACAACGTCAGTTTTGATATATCATTGCTTCAGTTTCAAGAATAGCTCGTCAACGCGACGGTTGTCGATATAACCAGTAAAATTCTAGCAGTTCATTCAAGCAACTCTACAGTGCGGGTTTGTGTAGTATTAAAACGCAACGTCTCTGAGCAGCGAAAATGAGATTACTTCAAGACTTCGACAACCAGTGTCACAAAATCATAGATCTTGAAGAGTGGTGTAGGCTACTTCGTAACGAGGTAATCAGGAAATCGATTTTTCGGTTGTGCAACAGGGACTTCCATCAAAGAGTGTCCAGCACCAGAAGTTGCATTGGTTAGTCCATGTATTGTGTATGCCAAACCATCGTTTGCGGGAGACCGTGTCGTTTCCCGTGCCAGAAGCAAAGCCATGTCTGTCCTTTGACCTGGAATACGTGTATGAAAGATATTACGAAAACTGTGTGCATTGTCGATGCTACCCAAAACGGTAACCGCGTTGTGTCCACTGCTCCTGGATCGAGTGGCTGCCAATCCCTATCAATGGCTTTATTGTTGTCAGTTTACATCCAGATTGCCTGAATGAGTGCCTAGAGATATAGACACCTCGAACTGATTGTGCTAAGCCACCAATCAGTCACCTACCCGTCCCTCACGGGAAGGCTTTCAAGTAGAAAATACCGTTTCACAGCAGCGAAGCACTGAAGTCATGCTGTCAGTGATAATGATAATGATGACAACATGACGGAAACCACAGTATTGAAAGACGTTCACCAGGTATCCATTTTTAAGTTTACGAATAAATGACAAGCGCGTTGCGTGATTTACAGAACGGCTGCCTTAGGTTGACGCATGAGTAGGTACGGATCAAATTTAGAACAAGAACGCAACGTCGAAACCGTTGTGGCAACTTGGCAGTTCACTGACAGCGTCTTTTTCTCACACTGGTGTTGCTACCAATTCGAACGTTTGGAGGTGAGCAAAAAAAGGTGAATTCGGCGTGCAGGTGCCATATTTTGGAAATTTTTGACAGGAATCAGTAAAGTCAGTCGATGCTTTGTGAGTGCATTAGTTGCCGACGAGCACACATTTTGGTCGAGGACTGACGGACGGACTGACAGTCAGAATTCGGGGTTTCACACAGTTCAGAAAAATTATCATCCAAGCAATAGAAGAAGAAACTGTAAACTCAAATGATAAAGCCTTTTTTCACGTTAAACCCTTGAGATAACCCTAAAGATATATTTTCCAGAAATTTTGCTAATATCACACATGATTTTAAGTGCTTCCGAAATGTCCGGTTAATTTAAACCCAATATAATTTGAATCTTATATATATATATATATATATAGTAAAATGGGCTCATTTAAAAGAATACAGCAGTAACCACGTGTAATTTGATCCAACACAGCTCGAACGAGGAGCCCCCAGATTCTGGAAAAATGGACAATTCTATAATTGTCAAGAATCGTGGAGCTGGGGAAACACGTACTTTGTCAAGTTCACGACGGAGCTTAATGTTTGGAGACGTGATTATCAGGAACTGGGAGAAGGCGAGATCCTGTGGCTGGCAAACCGTATGGTGAATAATTATGGGGGTAATTGTAATACAGTGGCAGGTAAGCAAACAGACTTGTTGGTGAACCGAACCCGCGCAAAATTGTCACCTCATGAAAGTTATTATATCGATTCTTATTACCTCCTTTTATGGTACTGACATGTTTGCGGTAGTGAGCTGGACAGTTCTTGTTGTTTGGCAAGCGCCGAAGTCCGTCAGGTGGTGTCAGGTGAAATTGGACTATTTTAGCATTTATGTTCGCAGGCTGAGGCCACTACCTTTCGTGTGAGTAGTGCAACGTACATTCAGAGTATATTATCATGTTCAACCTTGGTTTGTCACGACCAGTTGTGTGTCGTTGTGAGCCATGCTGTAAAACTCTGGCCTTTGCCTTACAACTACGTATCTGGTTGTTTTGTTTCTAACTTCTACCCACTTTGTTCGAATTCGTCAACGCGACCAAACTTCACGCAGCTCCAATGTCTTGAGGAGATGCAGTCTCGTGTTTGAACTTCTCCTACATACGTAGGGCCTGGATATTAAGTAAGATGTGATAGAAAGCAGGTGAGACCGGGAGACAAATAGAAACCATGTGTCGTAGACTCGCGTTTATTACTTTCATTGTTGTAACCATAGGCATGTGACCCTATAACCTCCACAGTCTCACCATTCATTAAGCTGTGTACCTGACTTGGAAGTTAATCCGGTGTCTGTTGATTTGTTCGCCGAGCTTGGCAACTGATTTGCAAACGAATGCGTCACCATTCGAGGAGACATCTTCAGCGCCAAGCTCGACAAACAGATCAACAGCCAGCTGATCAACTACCAACTAATGTACCCGAGCTATTCCAACACCTGTATACCTGACTTTTTATCAACAAAGAGTTAAAAGCTCCCGTATGAAGCAATGTGATATGATCAAGGTGACATTGGTGATAAACGAGTTCCCAAATTGTTGACCATCCAACGAAAATATTGCTACCAAGTGTATTTGAACCAAGACAGTAAACCATGGGCCAGAAAAGAATGCGAAAACTGATTAACCGACTCATAAAAAGACCGCTATTTGTATCCAGGACACATTTTAACCTGAGCCTCTTGCAAAATTCCTGGGTTGCCCCTTTACTTATCTATTTGAATGGCTTTCAAAGTGATTTTTAACAAAACTAAAGCCTGATTAAACAAAAATTTCCCGGTATTTTCAGTCCTCAACTGTAGCCTCTAGATGTCTTGATCATCAAAGTTTTAGTAACCACCCATACTCATTTTAATTGGTTGATTATAGGAACTGTACTTCAGTAAACCCGATCGACTCTGTGCCTTCATTTCAACTAATTGGCTCTACCATAGGCCCGACAAAAGTTCTTGTGTCTCTATTCAGATTCCATACAAACAAAACAAGTCTTCGGAACTGTATTTCAACGACAAAGGAATGGTGAACTACTTCACCGTCAGGACAGTTTCCAACATTCGGAAACGAACGACTTTATTTCACGTTAGTCTGTGTAGTTTCTCTCCATAGTGGAGAACCATGTACAGCAGAATCTTTAGAATTCGCTGTGGTACCAGCCAGGCTTATTAGTTTGTGGCAGATGGGCGCTGGCATCCTGAAGTGAAGTGATTCGAGACTTAATTCGCAGACCCGTAAGTTATGCTCTGTAGTTGCTAAATCATTATAAAAATTGGTTGATGTATAAGAAACATCCCCTGAAATTATCAAATCGCGCGAATGGCAGTTTACTTGCTACATTGGATGGCTTTCTTCCGAAGCTCAGCGGAAGTTTTCACGGGATGTTCTAATTGATCAAACTGACTGGTACCGTTTGCATTTGGTCGGATTCGTAATCGTATCTGGCAGCAGTGTGCCTCCTCAAAGACGCGTAACCTGCGAGACTCCCTGAGCGTCCTAGTTCACAAAATTAAGGTGTTGTGTCAACTTCATTTCTCAACATAATGAGTCATATGACACCAGTTATTGCGTCTCCAGATGAGAAGCCTAAGGGAAACCATCTGGTGACGGAGTTCGAGCCTATTCTCATAAACATTTGATTTTGAGTCAACCCTGTTACCTGCATTAGTGCAACGTAACGTCTTGGTTTTAGAAATGGACAGCAGTGTGATTCGGGGCATGGAGATTAGGACGTTTAACCTTTTTCACACCGTCACCTTCCAGAGGGAAGGAGAGTACTAGTCACAGATGCGACTGTACTTAGTATATACTTTGGTCTGGTTCGTACTTGATTTATGAGACCCGATTGCTTGTAGAAAAAAGTAACTGGGAGAATTCTCTTGTCGTTGATAACTCTTGTTGATCCGGCCATGACCGGTAGATGAAACTATCCTCGACGTTTTCAAAGTTCAGATCAGTTTTTAAGGATTCTTAAACGATTCTCAAAACGATGAGGTTTTAGGCGATTATAAGATCTAGATCATTGAATGAAGTGGTGAAGTTATGTCCGTATTCTTGGTTAATTTGCTGTCTTTTATATTACAGAATTTGCTAATCCTGAGGTTACCCATCCCACACAATGTACGTGAGTTAAACAGATAATCAGAGGCGTCTTAGTTCATATACATGTCGTGTATTTGTTTCTGACAAAACACAGTGTCCCTCAAGATTAAACATTTGAAATTTCCGTGAGGATATCAGTGGATGATCATCAGTGGATTTTTGTACCAGGTACAAAGCTTCAATTGAATGAATCAGCAAAGCTGAGTAAATGTCTAGCTTAAATCAAATTTGAATCAAATTTGAATACGAGACTTTTCTTTCCACAATAGATAACAAGAGACAGTGCAAAGAGATTGAACCTTGTGTTTGGCTCAGCAGCCCTAATGGAAGGATGTTTCAGCCCGCCAATTTTTTGAGAAGCAGCCGACCCTGCTTCGTGTACATTCCAATAATGTTGCGTCACCGGTCACCCTCTGTAGCACTTACCACGATTTCGCTGATCGTTTTCTCCTGATAACTCAGCCATAAGTTCATGGATAATCTCAAGGTCACAAGTAGCCAATTAGTAAATTACTTGAGGCATCAGTGTTTGCATCTGCTCCGTTGGTGGGCAAGGATAGAAAGACGGGAGGATAGATAAAAATTAACGATGCGTCGTTTGCCACATAATAGTAAAACTCATTGTTTCTTTCCTTAGTCATTATGCTCACAGGGTTGTATCAGGAGAAGTTTTGCAACCAAGTAAGTCATCCTCCGTTTGTTCGTTGAAAAACTCCGTGCCACAATCATCCAACCACTATTGCTTACTCTGCCGATCTCAGCTAATGGAAAGGCAGTTTAATGGCTACCAAGTGATCGGATGTCATGTTGCTGAACTCGGAGAGAATCGGCTCCAACTGATCTACGTATCGACCTACTGGGTGCAGCTCAGTGTCCCTGCCGAGATAGATGTTGTTCTGGATCTTGTTGTTCAGCTAAATAGTGGATTATCCAAATGCCGTTACAATGCCTACGCAGTTCGCGACAATGCGCACGAAGATCGTGTCTACAAATAACAGCCAAAAGTAAGCCATCCTCAGTGAGTGGGCTTTTTGTTGGTGGCCTGGCTAACTGCACCAGAAAGAAAAATGATTCCTAACGGTTGTTTTGATGAAATACCTAAACACTTCAACGTGGACCGGACTAAGTCCATATGAAAATACTGACCGCACTAGGAGGTGGGTTTTCTTGACATCCAAGCATTTAATATGATGTTTACTGGTAATAAAACTATCGTAATCGCGAATACTTAAAACTGGGTGCAAAAACATTTCGAGCACCAACTTGATGATGATGGATACGAAAATGAAGCTGATCCTCTGGGACGACTCAAGTCACACATCTACATCTTGCCGAAGATCAGTCAAAATGTGATTTGACTCCGAATCGAAGGACTATTGATCCGAAACTGCGAGCTTTTACGCAAATTACTTTCATGGACAGACATGAAAGGCCACCCCATAGATATTGGTAGGTACCGAGAACGAGTGACAAAGGACCTGAGGTCTGTCGATGGAAATATGATATTTAAGTGTTTGTGGGTACGTTGGCTCCATCTGCGATGGTTTCACTCAACTGAAAGTTGAACAGTTTAGGATATACAGCCAAGTCTTTAAGGCAGTGGCGTGGTTAGTTAGTTCTGGGTCTGGGATGCTACACACTGAAATCAGTAACTTCGATGCATGAGCCTCAGTGACTTCTCGATTGAGCCATTTCTTCCGGCGCCATTAACCATTGATGAGATAATCTTGGGCACAGTGTACACAGTGGGCGAGACAATCCAAGTGGTTAGAGCGCGAATTTGCTGACCGGAAGGTCCGTGGTTAGAACCTGCCCTCGGCCTCTTGACCTCCTCTGTCTAGGCTTGGGCAACCTGGCAGTATCCCAGCCCTCGTGCTTCCTTCGGGTGGCATGACAGCTAGGCACCGAAAGGGTGCTACAGATGAACGTGTCACTGGTCGCAGTGTACAAAAACACCACCTGAATGGTGCTCCTATGACACTTTATTTTCGTGATGCTGTGCGGTTTGAGTGAAAGTTCTGTATGAACAAGACATTCACGCCACCGTCAGTTCAGAGTGCAGGTCTTCACGAATTGCGTATTCCATGATACACCCCACCATGTATCGGACACGTTTTTATGATGGCTTGTATATTCATGACTTCGACAGACTTCGACGAATCTGAAACGTCATCGCTAAGTGAACTCACGACAAAGTCAGTCATCACCTGGGCCAACTGTTGGGAAGCTACAACGATTCTCGCTTTCAGAAATGTTTAAGGCATCCACTGAAGCCACGGATGGCATTGTGTGCATTAATTGTTTGTTGAGGAGTAAAGTCGGGCTTGTTGCGAAAGTTTGCGAATCATCCTCGATCTTCGTGATGATTGAGAATCATATACTAGGAATGCGACCAGCCAGGGCCATTCTAGCAGTTGATTATTTGCGGACTATCTACGGAGAGGAGACGGGCACTTACTGCACTTACTCAGAGGATGTGGAGGGGATGGGGATGGGAACGGTTACGGCTGGAGTAACACCATGGTTTCTGAGGAGTACAAGCGGGGTGAGTGAAGGGAGGAACAGGAAAGTTGGAGCAAGGAAAGTTGATTAAAGTTGAACCTTTACAAGCACCAAAAACATAGATTTTCTGACCGTTTCAAAACACTATGGGCCAGCAACGAATGAAATCTTTACAGTCGTATTCGACCTACCCTTTAACGGGCCCTCCGTGAAAAACAACAACTCCAATTAAAGCCATTCTACCGCGAGCTCTGTCCGAAGTATAAATCTTTGGAGAGACCACTCCACACAGTGACTTCTGTAGGCATCTCTGAGTCCCATTTGCTATTTAGGCAAGGATCAGAATTCAAGCTTCATATTCTGAGTTTCCTGGCACCAATCGGGCAGTTATGCACCCAGAGCACACACAAACTTCCTCGCACTACTAACAATCCATGAGTTGCTCAGTGAAAGAATAAACTTCACTCGTTAAGTTAAACTTCCATCTACGAAGTCGTTGTTCGAGAAGCCAGTCAACACGTGTGGCCGCGTGATGTGGATCCCGTGATCGAAGGATGAGCGACGCTAAATCTTGTCAAAGTGCGAGTTACTCACGCCGTTGATCAGCTGCCCGCGGCTGAACGGTTAAATGTTCAAACTACTAGCCAGGAGGTCGCGGGTTCAAGGCTCGCCGGAGTTTTGTGAGATG